TAGCTAGCTGCGCACTTTTAGAACAAACTAAGTGGGCAATCCAGAGCCTGAGAGTGGCGGCCATGCGGTCGAAAAATTCTCCTTCGCTTTCGCCAGCCCACTGGCCCCGCAGCAGGTAAAAAGCTTCTGCTGTCATGCCCTGCAGCAGCAGCAGCAGCAACAGCAGCAGCAGCAGCAGCAGCAGCAGGAGGGAGTGCAGCAGGAAGTGTGCAGGCGAGACGAACAGCAACGGCGAATGCGGCGGCAGCAGCAAATGAAGCAGATGAAGTGGCGACAATTAGAAGGCAGCCGTGTAGCTGCAGCAGCAGCAGCAGCAGCAGCAGTTGCTGCAGCAGCAGCAGCAGCAGCAGACCTGGGCTCTCCTGTGTGAAAATGGAACCGCATAAGTGCAAGTAGAGAAAAGTGCCCCTCGGAAGATCCGCTCGAATTCCGGAAGGTGGGTATTCACGCTGCAGCAGCAGCAGCAGCAGCAGCAGCAGCAGCAGCAGCAACAGCAACAGCAACAGCAGTAACAGCGTTAGAATGCAGTGCCTCAATGGCGACGTCGGGCCCAAAAGAAGAGGCGAAGCAAGGCAACGAGGGAAAGCAGCAGCAGCAGTAGCAGCAGCAAAGCAGCAACAGCAGCAGCAGCAGCAGCAGCAGCAGCAACCTGGACTCACCCTCGGATTAAATAGGCATAAGCCCAAACAGAGCTCGGCCGCACACTCAGCTGTACAGGCACCTCAACAAACAAACGCAGGGCCTTCAGCAGCAAAGCAGCAGCAGCAGAATGGCAGCAGCAGCAGCAGCAGCAGCACACAACGGACCAACGGCCGCAGCAGACGCCGCAGCAGTAGCACAAATGCAGCAGCACGAAGACGCAGCAGCGAAATAAGAGCAGCAGCACAGTAAAACCAGCAGCCCAATTACAGCAGCAGCAGCAGCAGCAGCAGCAGCAGCAGCACCTGTCCCCCCCTTTCGCAGAGCTCGAGAATTCTGCTGCTGAGCTGGCAGCAAAAGTAAACTTTCGTGTCTGGCGGCTTTTGCTGCAGCGGGCCTTGGATGAATGTCTTCAGAGTTTCTATGGACTGAGCAGCAGCAGCAGCAGCAGCAGCAGCAGGAAGTAAATACGTAAATAAGTAGATGAATAAATAAATAAATAAATGAGCAAATATATAGATATATTAACAAATAAATAAATCATCAAATAAATAAACAAATAAACAAATAAATACATAAATGCACAAGCAAATAAGTGGATGAATAATAAATAAATATTTTAATCAACTAATTCATTGATAATGAATAAGGCAAGCATAAATGCGCAGTTAGATCTCTGCAGCAGCACTTGCTGCTGCAGCTGCTGCTGCTGCAGCAGCTGCTGCTGCTGTAGGAGACATGAGAAAAGAAGGGAAAATTAAACG